CGACTAAAATAGTCATCTAAACATACACTTAGAGGTCTATTTTATAACATGTATATATAAGTGTTTTCGTGAAGTCCATGATATTTTATTTCTATGGTCCCAATGGTGTCAAATTCATAGTTATTTTGATCATGTTTTATTATTCATTTATTTCATGTTTAGGTTGATGTTATAATTGTAGATTCATAGCTATATTTATATGTGAATATCTAAATATTAATGTTAACGTATATATATACTAAAATAGTCATCTAAACCTACACTTAGCGGTGTACTTTATAACATGTGCATATAAGTGTTTTCATGCATGTCCATGATATTTTATTTCTATGGTCCAAATGGTGTTAACTACTACTAGTGATGAAGATGTGGAGACAGATTATAGTTGGGCTGATGAAGGTACTGATTTTAGTGTTGATTTATTTAGTGTGTTATGAATAAATATAAATCACTATTAAAAATAATAGTTGTACTTAAAATATGAAGTACATTTGTAAAATAACAATGTCAAAACCTTTTCAATAAACTACAGTATATAGCATGTAGCAAGACAATATTTATGTATATCGTGTTATATTTTCATGTTATAAACTTCAATATATAACATGTTATTTTGTTGTTATCTCTTGTAGTTTTGAGTTATTAGATTATGTCCATATTATTTCATAGATTAATTTGAGTTTTTTTTGAGTTTGTGTTGATTATCAGAAAATAAAATGAAGAAAAAAGAGATGAAAAGAAGAAGATATGATAGAAGGAGAAGGAAAAAAAAGAAGATATACGAGTGAAAAAGAGAGATAAGATAAAAATGCATTAAACATGCAATTAATGTTGTCATTATTTTCAGTTCTTTCCCCACGCGCAGCACACACAAACATGCTTTTTATTTGGTGCAAGTTGATTTTTTTTCAGTACCCTTTTGTTGGTTTCTTAAGGCTCAAATTCTCTTTGTTACTTTCTTAATTAACTTATTCTATCTTATCATTTACCAAATTGACTCTAGTATTTATATTTAATTATTTATAGTGAAAATTTTTATGAAAATAAATTAAATATTTATACTCTCCGAAAACGAGACATTCAAACTTCAAAGAAGAGAGAACGAGCGAGTTTTTTGATGTTGAAGTTTTGAATATTTACAAAATGAATATCGAAACGTTCGTTTATATAGATGGTAAATATATAAAATTTGTTGTGTATGCATAGTGATAATAGAGTTCACACGAAATAAACGTAAACGTAAAGATAATACTGCATAGTGTGAACATATCATAGTTTTGCTAACTTTTTTTTTTACAACAAT